AAATCTTCGGCATTTCCTTATCTCAAACTCATTTTTCCTTTACCGCAATCACCCGTTCCATTATTATCGTGAACACACCGTCTTTTTGCGGGTTTTTGTGGGTGCCGTTTTTTCACAAATTCTGTGCTTTTGTGGCAGATAACTCGAACAAATCTTTTCCGAGTAGGTCCGGATCCTTGAACTTTTCCCTTTTCAGTTGGTTCGGCCGCAATTAGGCTAGTAGTATTCTGTTGGTTCCAAGTCTGCCGAACACAATAGACGGATTAGAACATGTCATGAAGGAGTTTATAGAATTCTGCTGGACCTTATTAACAAAGAACCATTTCGACACATTTTACCTTACTTCTAGGAGATACCGAGGAACGGCTACTGTGCTGTGCTAATATGAAATCTCCTCTGCCAGTTGCTGGGTACCACACCGGGTATTCTTCTCAACCAGCTTCAAAAGACCTTCAACCTTTAGCTAGGGATGCCGACCAGAACATGGTTTTCTTCTCGGGTTCTCAGAAGTGGGCAGTGAAACGTCGGACAGTGCAGTCCAGATCCTCATAACATAAGAGGGGGGGGGAGGGCAAAAAAAAGAGTCACTTCACTCCACATTCAAAACGGAATTAAATTACACGTTGCAAAACCAAACCAAATGAGCTCAACTGATATTAAAGAGCACATTCTAATCTATCAAAAAAGTTACATAACAGCCTTCTACACCGACGACATCAGAAGATTTTCCCACGGAAACATGGTTCACGGTACGAGCTCAACGAGGTCGTCGAGGTACCATAGACCATTACGACGTCCCTGAAACGCTGGTCAAAAGCGGTCTTGCACAGTCACAGCTAATGTCTCTAGAAGCTATTCACCAGTTAAAGGAGGATTGCACGGAAAGAACGAAGGTCGAAGAAGGGAGAAATCGCCTAGTGGGGAGAGCGGTGAATCTCTTGAGGGTGCGGACAGACACGCAATCGGCATCGAAAGATTTGACCTCTGAGATCTAGCATGGCTCAAAGTTGGCGAGTTCGGCGATCTCCGCCCACCGATCGTCTGATCACTCGCCGTAGTACAATAGGTGGCGAGTGATTAGATAGCTGAGAGAGCGTAGGGTTGAAGAGGGCAAAGCGATGAGAGTCCCATCAATGCTCAAATCAACGGACAAGGAAGGGGTCCCATTTCTCCGGTTCTGGGCCGTTTTTCGTGGTTTCGCTTTCTTTCTGGTACTACTCACCATCTCTACCTCAATTTGGAATGGGTTGCTTTTTTATTGTAAATTCGTCCTTCAATTAGTTGAAGAAATTATGTAGCATTCCAGCGACCAAAGAAAAGAGCTGCGGTAAGCCTCAATTGGAGCTCGACGGTGACGGCAAATAACGTTCATATTTTCCTAGGACGGTGGCAGGTGATAGGAAAGACCCGGTTTCTGCATTGGGGGTCCCCTAGTGAATATCCTACCGTAAAAAGTTCATCACAAGCGGCATCCTGTGCGACGAAAAATTTGATGATGTGCGCCATGGGCATAATTCTTTAAAGAATATACAGGTGGGCGGGGGGCTAAAAAAGAGTCACTATGATGACTCATGTTTTCGGCCCCGCCCACCTATATTCTTTAAAGAATTGCTTTCACTGTCGCGTTTTCTGAGTGTATAAAGCTGGTGAACTCCAATATGCTTCCAGTCAAGGATGAAGTTTTTAGCCGAGCTCGCTGAAAACTACATGGGAAATATGGAAGGGAGAGCACTGGTCGTCCCTTTACGATGCAGCGCACCACGGACTCAAAGGTTCAAATATGAAGGAAGCTGGTCAAACGACTTTCGAGACGACCTCATATACGTATTATTTAAACATTTATTTTGCAATCTATTCAGTTGGCTTCAGTTTCACAATTGTCTTTCCAGCAATTGCTCCATAGGTGCTCTTGCTAGGATCAGCTGTGCCTGCAGCTACCGGGTAGTACTCGATGGTCAAGTCTTCCTGTGGTCCTTTGCCTGACTGAAATTTCTCATTGATAGTTTTTTTGTTGTTGATAATCTGCCTAGTATTTTCTGCCAAGTTCTCATCTCTAAAGATTTGCACTTTCAAAAAGGAACTGAAGTTGAGGAGTAGGAAGCACTCCACTTCGTTCTTTCTAGATATAAAAGTGAGCGCAGTCCCGCACTACACTTTATCGTTTCTAAGCCTCAAAGGTAAAAAGCACAAATGCAGTTGGAGGGGGGAGGAAGAGGGATCACAGGGTCATCCCGGCTTCATTAGTCCATTTTTCTACTGGAGAACAAGATCCGGGATAGGTAAAACAATATTTTAGTTGGAAAGAATATAGAAATTTTGTCAAATGGAGCACTATGCACTGAGAAGTGGCGCTCTGTCAAAATGGCTCCCTCCCGTCCTCCCTACCCCTTCTTCAGACTTGAATTCGAAGAATCCGTCGCTAAATCAGTTCTAGATCGCTAATCGAGAACCTAAGCTACAAAAAAGGCGCTCTGTACTAGGGGGGTGAAGGGGGCAATGAATGTGAGTGGCCACTCACAGCTAGCACGAGGACTAAGCCATGGGTAGGGAAAGGATTTTGGGAGAGGATGTGAGCAACCACTGCTCTCCCTGGTGTTTATTCCCAATGCTGGGCTCAGTTCTACCAGCGGTTTTTCAGTATGTCTCACATGTAATGTACCACCCCCCCCTTAGGACATATAGAGGTCTCCACAAAATTTTGCAAGTGGAGCAATTCGTTACCCCTCACATAACTTCGTATAGCATATGCTGTAAAAGCTTAATAAAGTGTTCAGAGTTGGCGATCGTACGTGCGATTAGGCGATTAGGCGAGTAGGCGGGGAAGACCGTATACGTATTGATTGGTTTGCTCCGCCCATAGAGCGTTGTAGGCGAGTAGGCGATCGCTCTCTGGGCGGAGCAACAAATCAATACGTATCCTTCCCTTATCGCCTACTACTCGCCTGATCGCCTAATCGATACGTATATTTTTCTTTTTGAATCATCGCTTCAATCGCCTAATCGCACGCACGATCGCCACCTGTGAACGCTCCATAGGCTGCTCATGCCTATTAGGACATGATGAATGACACAGATGCCAGCGACTGCGTCACCCATTGAGTTACGACCTCTACCTTGATTTTCAAGAGCCTATCTTTTCATCCCAAACTCCACTTTTACGCGCGTAGGCGTCTATCGGGCAAAAAGAACTAAGAATTTCACTAAAGTCTTTCTTCACCTGTCTCGAAATCACGATTTCTATAGTCTTCCCAACCTCTAGTACACCAACCGCCTTGTCTGGCTCTACAGAGTATTTAGAGCCGTCTGCGAATACCATCTGGAAACATTCAGACATATTATGTACGGTATTCCATCAACGCAAGCGGCTTCGTAATCTTACCTTATAAGCGAGATTCCTGTCACAGTAGTTAATCATCTTGTGCTTTGATTTACCTCCTGATGTAGTAATTGTGCACTTTGGAGGCTCGAATTTGAGTTCGTAGCCCATTGGTAAGGTTTGATGTGAAAATGATTCTTGCTCTTCTCACTCGCTTTTATATCATCGTGCTTATCTCGGTTTAGAAAGTAGATAAGTCTTTCATCGCAATTCCAACAACAAGTTTATTTTCCCAGCATATCGGCTGAAGTGTGAATCATTCTATAGTAATCATGTCTAATTTCCTGCCATGCCAGATCGTGCCTGCTCAGAACCCGATATTCGTCGGCACTGGTGAATCGAGAAGGGAGCTCAGGAGCAACAGCGAGAAGAACCTAGCATTTAAGGTGAGTTTTATAAGGCTGCAGTTGAATGGTGGATAAAGAGTACGCATGCATAAGGCGATTCTTGAGTGCTGATCTCAGTGCTGATCATAGCTAATGAGCGCTACGAAACTTTTACCTTACTATGCTTTCCAACGGGCGCGTATCCTTGCTTCGGCGCTGCTCCGAAAGGTATTATACCACGTATTTCAGCTGGTCTTCCCACCTGGCTCAAATTTTTCTGCAACTACTCAATATGGCACGATCCCACCATTTGGCAAGACGACTGTTGTGTTTTCAAGAAACGTGGGTCAAAGTGGATCATTCGTTTATTTGGTGTCATTATCTGTTTTTCTAATTGCTTTTGCTTCAGAAGGGTAAATGTGCAGAAGAGAAGCTGGTCGTTCAATATGCTGCGATGGCCGATGGACAGACCGATCCGGCTGCTAGTTTCTCTACTGGCAATCCGGTTGGAGATTTTATTGGAGAAGCAGTAGTTCGATTATCGCCAATTACATAGAACTGGGAATAAATCATATCTTCACTTTGAAAGCTGAATACATTGAGAGCAAAGAATTGTTGAAGTAGGGACGGAAACTTGTTGCATATGTCTTACCCCCGCCCCCCGCCCATAAAGGCGGATTCACGAACATCCTTGCCCACTGGAGCCGAAAGAAGAGGTGGTGGTTTGCAGCGGTCAACACGAAAAGAAAAACCTGAGATAAAACCATCTGAAACCCATGGATTGGATCTCTTCCTAGCCGTTAGTTTCCGTTCTGGTCGAGCAAGAAGAGCTCGTTTCCACGTTGCTAATCACGACAGCCCACGTCATGCCAACAAACTTCATAAGATGTTTGATTACGCATTACATAGGCTAACGAGGCCGCTCAAGATGAAACGCTCTTTGAAGTCAAGAGCAATGTATGGCGATAACAGTTTGTCATTTGAGCAAATACAACCCGAGCCATTTAGGAGGGGCACTACGGCAGGATGCACTCGGGTCCAGGGAAGTTCAACCATCTCTCCCAAGACCGCCTCCTGGCTTTTCCTCTCAACTCGAAGGGGTCATCCTGAGCGGGTCATCTAGGGATGCGTGCCGTTTTCCCCGATACGCGCTGTTCCCCGAGACTTCTTAGGGGAGAGTCACTACTCTCCACACTTAGAATGGAATCAATTCTACTCTCCCCAGTAAGAAGCCAGAAAGTGTAGGGTTCAGACCAAACACCACGACCAAACAACACAACGACAGCTTCCAAGAAAGTCTAGTCACTAGTGGTTCATAGTGACATCTGATTTTTAATAGTTGTAATTAGTGCCAAACTGATCGAATACAACTGTAACAGGTTAATCATTTCATTGGCAAAAAACATTTGCATTTTTTGGAGGCCGTCGTCACTCGTGGTGTATGGTCTGCACCCGACACTTTAGGCTTTCTGAAGGAGAGAGTATAACACTTTGCAGATCAAACCAAATGATCCCAGCTGGACATTAAAGAAAGCGTGCCATCTTACCACATATTTGCATATAGTCTTCTACTTCGGCGACATCAGTAAGATATCGAACAGCAGCGGCACTCTGCGCGACGAAAGCTTTGGTGATTGTACGTCATGGGGTAAACGACTTTGTCCGTGATACTCCCCTGGCAATTAGAGACACTGCCAGGGCTCAGGCTACTCTCTCACCGTGAGAGGTACAGTACCGTGCTCCAACCAGTAGAGGTGACCGCTGATGCCGACTGCTTCAGCTAGAGGCGGGACACGCGGTACACGCTAAGAACGCGCGCGCCTGGCGTAAGTGGCCGTGGAGCGAGCCAGGGTCCAGGCCTGCAGCGCGCGCTCGGACGTAGGGCCGCGTTCACAGTTCGCAGTCAGGAGATTAGGATAGTAGGCGACAGGATATTAGGATAGTAGTAGAGTAGGAGATTGCGCTGACAAGATTGGATACGTATCGATTGAAATCGCTGGAGAGTAGTAGATTGGGCGACTTCAAGCGAATCTATCAATACGTATTCAATCTTGTCAGCGCACGAGCCTTTTCTGACTATACCAGTCTACCACGATTCTAGCCCCTGTCAATACATATCTTTTCCATTTTCCGAAGTCGGAAGAATGAACTTTTACGATTAGGGTTGAATAATTGTTGATGAGGGCGCTCTACGCCATGACACAAGTGTCTTTTTCTTTTTCGTGGGCCCTGCATCCTATTGAGTAGGCATGCCCATCTTTCTGCCGCACCCAAATTGTCGTAACATCCTCCTTCAAACGGTCGTCAAAGTAATTAATGCTCCACGAAACCGCTCCAAGACAATCGAGGCGACACCATTGGTCACTAGGGACGGTCACAAAGAGCGGCTTCGAGCCGCTACCAGTATCCCTCAATTTGTATCAAGACCACCTCGTTTCCTGCGCCTTGAGATCAATTCGTGTGCTCCTCAGAACTTTTGCCAACTCTTACACGATTGGTAAAAGCCGAATTTGATGCAACTACGATAGTTACCATACGTCGTAGGATCTTCGATCTAGCTAAGGTAAGCTGCTTCCCTATGCCGTCCTCGCACCCGAGACCTTGCATAGGTTTCACATTGGTCGAGGTTTGCGAGCGAGAGCTCGTGTGGCCGTAGCTTCATTTCGGAAATCGTTTGACGTCTTTACGGATACAATGTTACGTCGGAATTCATATGCCAGCTTGTCACGCGTTCACCTGCACTCACTTGTCCGTCTCCAGTTCGGCCCCAAGCTGCGAGCACTTCCCATCGAAACCACTTGAAGGTGCAGACGCTACTACAAGCATAGCGCTTCATATATTATGCCAATCAGGTAAATGCTAAAGAGTTTATAACACTGCAGTCCGGGACGCACCATCCCGAACTGCAGTGTTCTGAAACAGGGCCATCCCATCGATGTTTTTGGAATGGTTTCCTGCAGATTTCCGCCTGATTCGGCGCACGCTCCACCCACAGCAACAGCATCTGACCTCCTTTCCTTCCTCCTCTTTTTCTAGACACTGAGCCGGAATCTAACTGTTAAGTTTCGCAGCAAATTTGCACTTCTGTGCCCGCTACGCCCACCATCAGTTTACGCTTCGCTCCTTCTCTAATCTTTGTCCACTTTTTTCCTTTCTCCAGGCACTTTCGCGACTGCATTGCAACGTTTCGTGGCAAACTTCGCCCGCTTTGGTGCACGCCGCACCACCACTAG